ATCTTAAATAAAAGGATTATAGAAACCATCTTGATGTCTTGGGAACCTAGACTTAGCCCTCCAGTGTCCTGCTATTGGATTTGGGATCCATTGCTAATGCTTGGCTTTGGAGGTTACTATTATTTGAACTTCAGATGTTTCAGTGTTATATAGCTTGTGAATTTTAGTATCACATATAGGCACACTATTACATTGCAGACGAAGTTGTGCCATCTAAACGGTTACTCAACCCTACTTGAATCCATATTGTCATTTATATCCTGTTGCTCTATGTCATAATTAGTAACAGGCTGTAAAATATGTACAGGTGAATGAGGAGTACTTGAGGTCCCTGGAGATTCTTAGTAAAAAATTGAAATTTGTTGAAGCTGATGCCATGGTTAAAACATCCAAAGCACTCAGTGATGTTCAGCCTGAACTAGAAAAGCTTCGTCAAAAAGCAGTTTTTAAGGTATTATCAGATCCAGTGTTATTAATTGTGGACGGCGGTAAATAGCAGCGGGCCAAAATCCGCCATAGCTGCGGCCGTGGCAGCCAATGGCGCCGCCATAACCGCCATCCTTCACAGATTTTGCATGGCGGTTAGGCAGAAATCCGCCAAGCCATACTGCAGTGGCCACCATTTGATAACACTAACCAGATCAAATATTTATGAAATTAGCAAAATCAAGTGGGGCCAATGCATGTGTTTTCACTTGTATATTATATAGATATCAAACTTCTGTTATTCCCCCCCCTTTTTTTTTGCGATCCTTCTTTTGCATAATCCTAAGAGTGTTAGGATACTTTGGACACAAACATACCCGGTAGTCAAAGCTTTCATGAGTGATGAAGTGAAATGATGACTTCTACCAGCAACATAGCACGCAATTGGTTTTGTTTTGGTGCATTGTACGTCGTTGATGTAAATAGAATGAGAAAAGGTGTCGAGGAGATAATTTTAGGCAGGATAACTCTTCTGTTTCCTGTATTTGGTTCCATGCATTATGTAACACAATTATTACTGGACTAATTTAGTGGAGTTCATTGACACCACCTTAAATTGTTTTTGCTAGCTGACCTTTGTGGACTTTAAACATCCAGTATTCCTTATACATCGTATAGGGGACTTTGCAGT